TCAGGTTTATTAGATGTTGACATGTCTAAATAGCAAATTAGCTTGGGCAAGATCCAATCGCAACAAATCAAAGGCAAACAATGTTACAAGTTAACTTTGTAGATCAATAACTTGTTGAAAGAAAAACAGCAACAATCTGGATCACACCCATTAGACACTAAACACAGATACCAACAGATTATTCGCAAAATTCTGAGTTTTCGCACTTCTGTATTCGCAAGTTGTTGTGTCGATTTTATTTGAGTGAAAGTGAGCAATCATGGCAAGGCGAGAATCATTCATGGATGATAAAAGCTTCAAAACCCAGACAAAAGTTGAGTGAACTCGTTTTCGAATTTCTGAATTTCAAAACCCAGACGAAATAATAGGAGGGTAGGCTGGTCATCTGATTCTTTCCCACTATGATGATTTAGCTAGATAACATGTAATACCACATTGCAAATGGGAAAATTTTGCCTGCTATTTTCATCATATAGACATGCAAATGGTTAAGCTGGCTTTTCTATTTAGGTAGGCATATCTTCAAAAGCTTTAACCAAACAGGGACATTCAATATTCCTACTTCTCAAATGCCTATGCATCTCAAAAAAATCCTCCAACCAAACACACCCCAAGAGAAAAATGAAAAATCAAAGATTCCTGTGCTTTCAATAATAAATAAATTACTGAAGAAATAAAGTGGTTCCCAGAAGTTTGGGTAATCTAATTAGTTTCACGGCTTGCATCCATTATTAAATGAAATTTCTTTAAAATAATAAATCGATTGTGCTCCAGTTTATTTAGTTCTATATTCAATAATAGCAAGAGCTAATTAACCGATATACATATAAAAACATGCATGTATGATATAATTAAAAAAAAAAACATGCATGTAAACTAGAATGAATGTGCTGGTTACTTTTTTTTTTTTTTGAGTTACCCAACCCTAATTATCTCTTTGAGACGAGTTGGCTCCCTCCGGTATCCCCACGAGCTTCGACTCTTTGAGCCGGCTATGTGACTAATCCGGAGTGCGGGGGAACAGTGATGGCTAAAGGTTCAGTCCCCTCCCCAAGAATGCATTCAGCGGGAATCGAACACATATCCAACCCCACTAACTCAGCGCCAAAAACTCAAAATCTTAAACGATGAGATATAAATACCATATTAATAATTTTATATGGGTTTATTATTTCTCATATCGTAGGAGATAAATTTATTTCTTACACACTAAAAGTGTGTGAGACTCATGTTTTCTCTTTCTCTTTCTTCTCCTCACATGAGTCCATATGGGCCCTACACACTTTAATGTGTATATAATTACGTACACATTATATTGGTCTACAATTGAACCCACATCAGTGGCGGAGCCGGGCTCCAATTTGAGCCCGGCCAATAAATTATATGTGTACTTATTTTTCTTAATTTTAATTAGTTTATATTGTAATATATTTAAATTATATTAAATCCAGAACACCTGAGCAAGCAACACTAAGAATAATTATAATTTTATTAAATATTTTTTAATTTTACTAAAAATAATTTTTTTTATACAAGTAAAAATTAGACACATAACCTAATACAACTTACCCAAATCTTTCACCAAAAATATTTTAAGTTTTACATAGGGCTAAATTACAAATTGTAGCCCGGGCCAAATTACAATTTTAATCCGGGTCAAATTATAAATAATTATATAATTATATACAATAAGTATAATTTGTTAAAATTTAGCCCGGGCCGAGACCACATCCAGTCTACATGTGGCTCCGCCACTGACCCACATGTTGTAGGAACACTACAATCAAATATTACAACAAACACTTATTTTTCTCTCTTCTTCTCAGTGGGCCCACATGAGCCCTACATATTTTTATGTGTGTAATTTATCTCCTACAACATGAGATACATTAAACCCAAATAAGATAATAGTTCATAGCTTTTGATTCATTCCCCCCCACCCTTCTCTCTTATATTTTAAGCACTAAATCTTAACACTACAAGAAATGCGGTGTTTAACCACGGAAATTTAATCACGGTTATTAAATTGCTGTAGAAATTGAGAAGAATCCAACGCACCGTAACACACACCGACTCTCATCTATTCTCTCCAATAAACAAAATCATGCGGACTCCTTACTTCTTTTCCCAACAAAGCTCATAGCAAAAAAGAAAGGAGGCGTTGCTTTAAAGCTTCTAGCTTAATTGGTAATTCAGAATTGCATTACTTTAAAGCTTCATTTTGGTGATTCAACCTTGCTTTTTCTGGTACATCCTCCTCCTCCGTCCTTCGTTGAAGATCGGTTCCTAGTATTTTGTTCTCCATTTTCTCTTCTATAAGCTGTTTCCTAATTTGAGGTTTACTAATCCTTGTTATAAGCATAATCGAGGGTTAAATCTTGTGCCTTTGCTATTAAATTGTTCGTTAAATTAACGATGTGCCAAATCTAGGTTTTCAATAATTATGTTACAGAATTCCAAATTGTGAATTTTGATCGTCATGTATTATTTGAAAATGCGTGTCCCTATGGACTCAAGGCTAATTTTATTTTCTTTTATGGTTCTTGGTTTTTTGATTTTTTTTATTGTTCTGGAGTGTGTTATTTACGTTTGCCTGTGTTTTGGGTCTTAGTATGAATGAATTGAATTTGGACATTTGGACATAAAATGCAGGGATTTGGCAAGGCATCCACTTGCTTTGTCTAGTTGCTGGTGGATATTGGAATTTAAGTCTTTGCTTAATTTGATTATACTGTCAGCGTAAATTGTTTCATATAATTTGTTTACATTTACACTTCTGACTATCCAAAAGATTACAACAAGTCCAAGTTTATCTTGATATGTCAATATTGGTTTTTTCTTGTGTGCTACAGGTGAAATGAGATCGCATCTTCACATCATGCTGAAGCTGGAGGGTAGTTTCTGCACAAACTCAATGTGGTGCGTGTAGTTTTCTCATAAAAGAATTTCTGTAATTGTTATTTTTCACTCTTATTTCTTTTTATGGGACTAGTATTGTACCTGTAATGGTGAAATATGGAAGAAGTTTGGTTCTCTATACAAGGTATATCTTTCTACTTCTGTTAGAGTTTTTTGTTTTTTTCCTGTAATAGCATATATTTATATTGATTATTATTGGATATTTTGGAAGTTTGTTATTTTCCTGTAATTCAATACTTCTCTTATTATCAACTTTTGATGGTCAATATTTGTAAGTGTTTTTTTTCCCTTTTTTCGTTACATGGTGATCTTTGGCAAAATTTATAAAAGCAAAATTTACACTTGACCTCTCTAATAATGCATTTAGTGGTTAGATATCCAGCTCTTGGTGAGGCCTCTTCAACCTGAATTATTCGTAAGTTACAAGATGTGTTTTTTTATATCTTACATATGTTAACCTGTTGCAAAGATTGTAAATTTGATACGTATATTATAAAAGGATAGATTTTGGATTGCAAAACTTCATGATTTGAATGATAAAAACTTGCCCATACTCTCCAAATCTCATCTAGAGATTGAACTAGACTTCAAAAGGGCCATTCACCCAATGCTCTTCCCCTGTCCTTGTGACCATCAAACATATGTACTATTATGCATATTCGCTGGTATTGGAAAAGGGGAAATGCAGAAGGACGAGTCCTCGTGCACACAATTTACATTTTCTTCCATTCTACATAGGCCCCCTTAGTGACTGAATGTCAGAACATGATTATAGCCATCAAATCATTGCATCTTTTAGTCTCATTCCCAAGTCTGTTCTGTACAGAAAAAAAGAGCATTAGCGAGGAACGTCAAGCAAATATTTCCTTTGTCATAGGCTAAGATGTTAATGAATGAAAATTTTAGTTTACCTTATTATTTGTCTATCAAATCCTGAAGCACCCCAGATGCCTATGTTCTCTTCAGCCCTTCTTAGGAGGTAAGGCATAACCATCTCTATTGGTCCAAATGGCATGTATTTGCTAACATGAAACCCTACATTGCTCAAACCAAAGGAAAGTGCCTCTGAAATATCATATAGCTTTGCAAATTCAAGCTTTTGGTTCACCTTTCTAATCCCCAGTTCATGTGGTTTTGCAGCAGCCAATTTCCCTGCGCAACATTTTCAAGTCATATCAAACACAGCAGTAGAGAGTGTTTTCTTAGATTGTAAATTAGGGTGACAAGATTCGTTCGATTTTAATAAGCATGAGTATTGTACATCAAAGTTGCCGTTTTGAGTTGAACACCCCAAAGATGATATTAAAAAAGAAATTGCAAAAAAAAAAATTTGAACTTTTAGATTTGACATTTTCTAATTTAAGAATAACAAGACTGGTTGGAATGTCAAAAGAGTGTTTGAATGAGCATATTCTGTCTTGTATTAGGATTTTTTACATTGTTTATTAGGTTTCTTCTTAAAGATATCTAACATGTTAACTTTCCTCGCTGCATCCTTAGTTCTCAATTCAATATATGGAGCATATCAAAAGGGCCAGCAAAATATATAAGTAGAAGTCATCCCTGAGATCGCATACAAAAGTCGGTTTTTAATTTTCACATTATATATTTTTTATAAGTTAAATTGTAGTTATGTTTTTTTTATATATTTCTTGTTTTCTTCAACCAGATCTTTTAGATGCCTTATGCCTTATCATTTATATATAAGTGATAATTTCAGGTGCACCATCCTTTCACATCTATATTATTCATCTCTCTGTATCTAGCGCCCCACTCCTCTTCCTTCTATAGGTATTCACTCACTAACTTGCTTCTTTCTGTTTTATATTATCTATTAACTTTGAATTTTCCAATTGCTTATTCTATTATAATATTTACAGCGCAAATATAAGAATAAAATGAAACCTACTTAGGATATGAGTGATGGCTCCTAACTCTTTGTCGTATTGTTCTTTGGTATATGACATTTAGTTTTCTTTCTATCATTTTTACATTCCAAATTTTCCTTCCTGTTTTATTCTTCTTCCCCCGCTTCTATGTCATTTCAATTTCTTTTTCTTCATCTTATTTTCAAGGTCGGGAAGACGTCTTTGATGAACCAGTATCCATTTGGCATTCGCATTTTTAGCAAAAAATGAAAAAAAAAATGAAATTTTGTTATTTTTACATAAGGCATGCAACTAGGAAGTCCTTTTTTGTATATTATTGTGGAACATTAACTTTCAGTGCAGATATGTTTATAAAAAATTCAGCTCGCAATATAAAGCCACGATTGGTGCTGATTTTGTTTCAAAGGAGATACAAGTTGATGGCAAACTTGTAACTTTGCAGGTGAGCATTTAAAATTTCCTTTTTTTTTCTTTTTTATATATTTTATTTTACTTTCTTTTTGAGTAATCTCTAAAGTTATCAATTGTAGTATTTTTTTTTGGGGTAAAACAATGAATACAACTATACAATCTTGTGGCAGATTTGGGATACGGCAGGGCTGGAAAGGTTCCATGGTCTTGGTGCTGCATTTTATAGAGGAGCAGATTGCTGTGATCTGGTATATGATGTAAATATACACAAGACATTGGATACACTAAACAACATATATGCATTGGAAATTGAGTTGCTTTCATGACTCATGAATTTGACAAATTTAAATTTGACAAAATGGAGACAGAATTTATATGACGCATGAATAATAAGGTATTTATACATTTTTAGTATCCACAAAATTCTAATTGCAAAGTCCCACATAATTCTTATTTTTATTCATAAAAGAAATATAAAGTGTGAAGGACAATTAATGTAAATGAAAATGCAATGTATCTAGTTTTGTCATACTATTTTTTACTGTTAAGAGTTGGAAATAAATGAAAATGAAAGGAAGGTGAGGATGAAGGATCAGTAAGGAGAGAGGTTTTTTTTTAATAATGTTCTCCATTAGCCACAGTTAGAAACGTAGCAAATTAAATATATATCCGTGGCTGACAAGATGTTACCACGATCACTGAAGTTGTTGCTAACAGGAAAAATAGCCGTAGCTGAAATAATGCAACGCCCAACCTAGCCACAACAGTGGACAATTCGTTTAGCCACGGTTTAAATCATGTTTTGCCACGGTTTTTGCAGTGGCTAAAGAGCGTTTTTATTGTAGTGTAAGTAGCTAGCACCCATATATATGTCAACTAAATCTTTCTGAGTTATTTTTTTTTTCTTCACGTCCCATTTGGAATTTGGATTACACAATGGTAGAGGGGATGTTATTTCATCCTTGGCATCCTCTAAATTATATCCGTCTATCTTAATGAAATTTGAACTTAAGAATTATAGGTTCAAATTGTTACTGTGTTCAGTTATTGAATTGTACTGGTAGTTGGAGAGAACAAGTTTACACCGGTTATTTTAAACTTGAAAGTTAGTATATCGAATTGAGAAACATTTTCCCTGGCAAACTTTTTCTGTTGATTAAATGGTCTGTAAGCTAGCTGTCTGGCATATTCTCATATATAGACTTAGGGGTGTTCAAAATGTCAAAAAGAACTAAACCAATCCATAACCAAACTGCTCCACAATTTAAAAATCGGTTTCATATGAAATTGCATTTTATTTTATAAACTGGTTATTTACCAAACCATAAAAATAATCGGTTATCCATGGTTATCCATAACCAAACTGCTTTACAATTAAAGAACAAATAAGTATTATCTTTTACCATGCATATCATATTAGTCAATTGACTCAAAAACAATAAACTAGCAAAAAAAGTTAAGCAGCTCAAGAAGAAAACATGTATTTTTAAAAAATTACACATAAATCGAAAGGTCGCATCCTAATAAAAGCACTTCTTATGTAACGTAACAACTTTTTTCCCAAAAAAAAAAAAACCACATACAGGCCTCCTGGCAAACTCATAACTTGACAAGGCGAAGACTTTAAAATGACAAAGATGAAGTTAAAAAATCATAACGAAAACGGCAACAAAATTAATCAATTGACTTAACGTCTCTGAGAGAGCGACATTAAAAGGACAACTCACAATGGATTTATTTATCTGTTCTTTAATTATAAAGTAGTTTGGTTATGGATAACCAATTATTTTTATGGTTTGGTAAATAACCAGTTTATAAAAATAAAATACAGTTTCATGTGATACCGATTTTTAAAAATAACCAATTTTTAAAATATGGAACAACTTGGTTATGGATTGTTTTAGTTCTTTTGGACATTTTGAACACCCCTACCCATACCTTCCTCCATTAGTTCAAATGAAACTTTTAGTAACATAAATCTTGAGAGATTGAAGAGCAATTTTTTTTATAATTTTAAAATAATTCAACTATTTTTCTACCAATCACTGTCAAAACAACGTGAAATAATTTCTGTAAGAATCATTTCGTCCTAAGAGTTTCAAAACAATGAAGATTCTTGCAAGAAATAGTTGGTCAACTACTTATAACCGGGAGAAACAAACGACTGCTTATAAAAATAGCACAATCCATCAAAAACTGATTTTGAATTTGTTAAAAAATTGATTTTGAACTTGATAACCGGTTTATGGTTCATAACGATTTTGATTTAAAACCGGTTGTGAATTAAAATCGGTTTTAAATCAAAACCGGTTATAAACCATAAACTGATTTTGGAACCGGTTTCAAACCGGTTTAGAAAATTAAAAATTGATTTTAAAAGAAGAAAACCAGTTCGGTTTGAAAACCAAACCTTTTAAAATCGGTTCGGTTCGATTTTTGTTAAAACCGATTATGAACCGCTCCATGCACACGTCTTTTTGACCTTTTTGTCCCTCATTAATTATTTAATAACCATTTTTCCTTTTATTCAGAACTATCTACCAATCTATCCCTCTTTAATCGATTAAGCCAAAAATTTAATCGATTAAATGGTCAAAATAGACAAAAAAATCGTTGACTTGAAGATTTAATCGATTAAATCTCTCTATTTAATCGACTAAATCTCCCATAAATGGTCAAAAGAAGAAGATTTAATCGATTAAATAAGGAGATTCAATCGACTAAATCTTCATTTGACCATTTAATTGATTAAATATTCCATTTAATCGATTAAAGAGGGACAAATTGGTAAATAATTTGCGATAAGGGACAAAATAGTTATTAAATAATTAATGAGGTACAAAAGGGTGAAAAAGTCCCATGCACACCCTATATATAGTGGCCTATCCTAATTGAAACCATGTGAATCAGCTTATGTAGAGTATTATACTATTCCAATTGGAATCACGTACGTCGTTGATTCAATTCTCTTACTAGATTAATTACCACTTCACGTCATTGAGCTAATCATATATGAGTGTCACAGTGTGGGGTTTTGTCAACTTTCTAAATAATGTTACATAAATATATTACAATTTACAAGAATATTTTCTTAATTTAGAAACTATGACTTCCAAGTGAAAAATGTTAACACCGGCATGCAATATAAAAAATGCTTATGTTGAGATGCAATCTGAGTTGATAAAGTGGGTGGGTTGAATTGGTTTTTTATATAGTATTCGAGCTGAAGTGATCAAGTGGTTACGAATTTAACCTTCACTGTCCCTACTTTGTGGTGAGATTAAGTAAACACAAGGTATAGACCAAAAAGTGGACTTGTGTAATATTCACACTTTAAATTCACACTTTAAGCCTAAAGAGCTCTTGCATGAAGGAGTATATTTGAGAGATATAAAATTATTAATGTAATCTCACCTAATATCTTAAAGTTTTAACTAGGTTGAATTAATTCTTTACGCATGTCCAAATTTGAAAAAATGACACATTATTTTACGTCATGTCATAATTAAGTTGTCCAAGATAAGAGTTGAAATTTTTGTAATTTTAACACGACCCGTTGTGGGACATAGATCAACTCGTGTATTTTTGTAATTTTTGTTTTTAATTTTTCTAAAAAAAATATTTTTTTATTTTTTTTCGTTAATCCATTAACCCTGACTCATAGCAGGTCGTATTCAGGTTTAAATTTTTAACCCATAAACAAATACATATTGTGTTGGGGTTTAAAAATTTTACCCATGCTTACAAAAAAAAAAAAAAAAAAAAAAAAATTTACCCACAGATCAGACCCGCGTTACCATCCCTTAACAGTCATGTATGTTGATATATTTTTTTCTTCACGTACCATTTGGAATTAGGGTTACACGATGGTAGAGGGGCTGTTGATCATCACCAACTTAAGATACATTAGATAATAATTCATAGCTTTTGGATTCATTTTCTCCCCTTATTTTTTAAGCACTAAACTTGTAAGTAGCACCCATGTCAACCAAATCTTTCTGAGTTATATATTTTTTTCTTCACGTCCCATTTGGAATTTGGATTACACAATAAATGGTAGAGGGGATATTATTTCATCATTGCCCTCCTCTAAATTATATCCGTCTGTCTTAATGAACTTTGAACTTCAGAATTGTAGGTTCAAATTGTTACCGTGTTCAGTTATTGAATTGTACTAGTAGTTGGAGAGAACAACTTTACAAGCTAGAAAGTTAGTATATCGAATTGAGAAACATATATATTCCCTGGCAAACTTTTTCTGTTGATGAAATGGTTTGCAAGCTAGCTGTCTGGCATATTCTCATTGTGACCTACCCTAGCTAAAACCATGTGAATCAGCTTATATAGAGTATTATTATACTTTTACAATTGGAATCACGTACGTCATTGATTCAATTCCCTTACTAGATTAATTACCACATCACGTCATTGATCTAATCGTAATGCAAATGAAATATGTACCGTATGAACAAAAGGCTCTCGTAAACAAGAAAGAAAGAAAGAAAGAAAAGGCTGACTGAATTAAATAACTATTGATTAATAAAGCTAATTAGTTAATGGCTGTACTTGAAAAATATATAAATGCTGTACAAAAAAATAAATTAATATAGAAATCCAGCCTTGCCATGCAAAGCTCTTACATATATGATATTGTTTTTAGGTTTTGCACTTTGCGTTGAAGTTTTTGCCTATTTTCGTAGTATAGAATATGCTATTTCGAAAACTGACTGATATATATGTTCCGTAAGATCGATAAGTTAAAATAGATGAAATGGTTGAAGACCGTGTATCCTGTCTCTACATCATTTTTACCTACTCACATTTTCATTCTTCCCAATATTTCGCTAAAACTCCCCGAAATTCGCTGTTATTTCTCACTAGAAAAAAAAAAATATCTTGGTTACTCTAGATGAAATAGAGGACGGTATAATATAAGGTTCCAACTATTTTTCCTTTCATAAAAAATCCTTTTATAAATTGATGCGTTTACGGTTGATCTATTGCACATGGCTCAACCAATGATTCAAGAAGCTCAGAGTCCCGATAAGTATGGCTCAATTGTTGAAAATAGCAGTCATTTAAAATATAACAAACTACGATCAAATCTAAGTCCTAATAAAGTAGCAAATATGATTGTGATTTATTTGGCGTGAAAAGAAAAGCAACACATTTGACATGATTTGAGATCTAATATTTGAGACGTATTTTGAATGATTTAATTATAATTATTTATTTATTTTTGTAAGTTAGTTACATTTATATTTATATTAGAATTTTTTTTTATTCTTAAGATTTTAGATTTTTGAATTTTAGATCAATATGTAAT